GAATTTAAATCAATCAAAATTATACAAAATTTATTCCAATAATTCATTCTTAAAAACTAATATTTAACACACAGAATTTCAAATTTTAATTAATGAACTTCTCATTTTTAGATTCATATTTATTTATACGCAATTTTATAAATAAAAAGTATATTTACTTAATTCAATGTGAAGAAAATAAAATACTTTTCCTCCTTACTTGGAAAATCTAGTTATTTTTAGCAACACAGTCTTTTTTTTTCCTTTCTTTCGAATTTAACAAAGAAACAACTGCTTGAAATTGAAGGAACTTGCAGAAATCTTTTTCGTTGCAATTGCAACAATTTTGTAATTCTAAACCTTTTTTTTTCTTTCTTATTATAAAGCAAATACTTAAAATCGCACAGTAGATATATCTGTGTTTAGTAAAAGGAGAACTGCATATGCTTGCAGAGTAGACTCTCAACACGAAGCTTTAGTAAATTTTTATCAGTAAGAGGTTTTTTTTTTATTTATCATCGTATAAAAAATTATAGTAAGATAAATTTTTTTTAACTATAAATTAATTCTTAGTTACAATTATTGATTTAATTCTATGTTGCGGATTTTTCTTAGATAAATCGTACTTAATAATGATTAAAATTTCAGTAGACATATGTTATGATAATAATCATTTTTTTGTGCTTAAGATAATGCGCACAAATTTAATATTATTTTACTAGTTGTGCAAATATTGGCTGATTTATTTTTTTTCCATTTTCAACATTTTTAAATTTTACATAAGTGCATATGTTTCTATGATAATTTCAGGTTTCAAGATCTCGAGGAGCCCTCGTTGCTCTTCATACTTATTTGCTTGCTACAAATCGTTGGATATACTGTCTGTCTAGCCAAAGAACTCCTCTCGCCACAGAGTCTAAAGCTGCCTGTTGCAATGGAAGTAAAAGGGGTGCATTTAAATGAGGAGAGCTTTTGATACTTCTCAAGTCAATCTTAGTCAGAACCTGTTTGGAAGTTCCATTACACATCCCTATTTGAAATAGCTTAACCTCGTAACCATAGTCATACACAAAGAGTCCAGACGAGTGGCGAGAGTAGTTCTTTACTTCGACAGTAACTCAGATAGAGTAACTTAGACAGTACTCCGTTAGATTTCCAACAGTAATGGTGTTCCACTTTCACCTGCCTTTATGCATAATTTTGGGACTCTAAACAAATTTGGAGCAAAAATTCTTAGATATTATCTAAATGAGATATTTATTGAGGATACAAAAGCTTGTTTTCACTGATTAACATAATCAACATCAACTCAATTCTTGTCATCAATATGGAAATCTGATAGCTATCGTACTAATTATTGGAATTCGATGAAATCATAATATGTAATAAATGAATATGTGCAGCAAAAATAGAAATTGATAAGAATCAATTTATAGAAACCATATAAACCCGTATATGTTTGCCTTTAGTACTCTCTAAAGTTTGGCGAGCGTTGGCGAGTAGAGTGTATAACCCACTGGTTCAAATTTTTTTTTAAATTATTAATGCATTTTTAAGGTTTCTTAGGACATATTAAATGTAGTCAAACTTTTTTTTTTAATTTTGCATTTTTTAATGCCATTTTTTTTATCTTCGACTGTTAGAATGGAATTACTTACTATTACATTAAAGAATTCCAAACAATTAAGATTCTTCCTCAAAAAAATGCAACAGCAGTCATGTGTTTCCCCTGACAGATAGGTTTTTTCAGGTTTATCAAAATGTAACACTGCTGAAGCATTCGCCATATTCATCTGACGGTGTCCAACTTTGTTTTTCAACTATCAAACCAGGGTTAAAAAAAATAATAGATTTGATTCGCCCGAAGCTGCCGGTAAAAGCAACAGAGTTGATGCAAAGGTATCACTTGATAACTTTCTGCCCTTTCTTTAGCAAAAAAAGTTTTTAATTGAAATATAAAGACATGGAAAGAGTAGAAATTAGAAAAAGGAAACATTAAAATTTAGCAAATTTCATTTTATGGTCAGTACCGTTTTTAAATTATCACACTTCATAACTTAATGAATAGTTTTATTGCGCGTAAGAGCCATGTAATATTTCATTTTCAAATTTAAAAAAAATATTAAAAGCTAAAAAATAGTTAAACTAGTTATTTTTTAGGTTTCTAAAATTTGTGTAATATTTTCTTTACTTTCTAATCTAATAGCTAAAATAAACCGAAAGAATCTTTTTCTAAGTTCACTTATTTTTTCCTTTCCAGCAACGTCATAATTCACTTTCGATCCCTTTTTCAATGAAATATAAATGAAAATATAAGTCTATTTATAACATTTCATGTCTTATTTTTAAGAAAAACGCTTTCAGAAACCTTCGAGAGAATATTTTTTTTACGTTAACTAAAAATTCAATTTAAAATGTCTCTTTCCTTTTATCCCTTAAATCATAACTTATTAAAAATTCCTCTTTAAGTTTTTTGAAGAAAGAATTATTGCTTTAAATAGGAAACTTTCAAGCGAATAACTTTGTTGCCATTCAATTTCTAATGCTAAAAGAGTGAACGTAATAACAGTTTGTTTAAGGACGATGATGGAATTGAAAAGATTACTTTGTGTACCGATCAAAAAAATCCTCTTATTATTTTAGCAAAATAAAAGTATTTTTATAAGTGTAATGAAATAAAATTAAAAAATTTTTTTTAAAAAAGAATAAAATAAAAATATTTTCTTACGAATTAAAAATTGTAGTTAAAAAAAAATTTCATGTGTTTAAAATTTTGTTTTTTAAATACCGATTTTGAAACTCTGAAAAAAACTAGTATTAAACTAAATCATTCAAAATATTAAATTAAAAAATATGTTAGTTATACCAGAATAAATTTCGTAAACAAATTGATGATCGTTTGTAAGCAGCCGATTTACTCCTAAAATTATGTTCAACTTATTTATGTTTTTAGCACATTTCATTCAAATTAGACGTTAGAAAAGATGAGACGAGACAAATATTGTGCACAAGCCTTAACATTATTAAAGAAACAATACTCTCACGTAGCATCCCGCATGCTCACGTACGAAAATTCTACGCTGTGCAGTTACCACAAAAAAAACTCGGTTCTCTACACGGTTTCCGCAAAATCCACATACGAGAGGATGAGAGATGTTATATGAGAGAATGAAATTTCCCAATTGCAGGTATAGTGAGTAAGGGTAACAAATTGCTAATAAAGATGCGCGCATGCGCATATTACTTAAATAACTGTCGTGCTCTCTGCTCACGCTAGATGAAATTAGTCAATCTCTGTTATGGCATTGAGTGACAAAAGCTTCCCGTTTTTTTTTTTTCGTTAAATAACGTTATTATTGTGTTCTTTTATTTTTAAGAACCCTACTTAACACGTTCGGGAATAGATACACAGCGACAACATACACCGAAGAGCCATTACATTATGACCACTCTCCATCTATAACAATGGACTCGCCCAGGTTTTCATGGTTTCTCGCCCAGGAACAGTGTTTTCATGGGGCACATTAGGACCCATAATCCTCATAGAAGAATCCCTGACGTCTGTAAGCTACTTGAACATGGTTGCAGACCAGGTTCACCCATTCATGGCAACTGTTTTTCCTGCGGGGGATGGTGTTTACCAACAGGATAATGCACCATGTCATAAGGGTCGAATCGTCGAGGAACATTTCAGCTACTTTCAAGTCATGTCTTGGCCCCCAAACTCACCTGACCTTAATCCAATAGATCATTTGTGGTCCTACTTGGAAAACCAAATTCTTGCTTCCACGCTACCCCTTCGCAATGTGAGGGAATTCCTCAGACTATCTATCAGCACCTTGTGGAATCAATGCCGCGGCGGGTGCTACCAGTTTTGAGGGCTAAAAGTGGTCCTACATGTTATTAGCAGGGTGGTCATAATGTAATGGCTTTTCGGTGTATTATTTTCTTGTAAGCACTGGGATCCTAAAGTGATTTTGAAACTTAAACGCATGTCTTTCACAGTCGTAATTCTAAATCGTATAGATTAACTTGCAAACGTCACCTGAAATACATTGAAGGCTCTTCAATCATTTGGTATCTCATACTTATCCCTTTTTCTGTCCCAATTCCGTGAAATAAAACATCACATTTGAATTGAAAACATCCCTTGCAGATATTGCAGCTTTCTTGTGCTGAGTTGAATAAGTGTTCCGATACGGTGTCGACTGAATTACATGTCATCTTAAACTAAGATAATTAAATTACAGCTAACAAACGAGATAATTTATTGATTTAAGATATTATTATTTAACACGAATTAGTCAATTAGAAAAAGAAAGGAGAGTGGAAAAATACCGTTCCATATCGTCTACTCTTATAGCTCATTAACCAACTTCAACTGCCTACCCTTTCTTTTACACATCCTTATGTTCTCCTTTTGTTTGTATGCCATTAGTAAACTTACGGGTCACTTTGAAAAAAAAAAGGCAAACCATAAACTGTTATTTCTAAATTTGTCACGTGAGCCCCCATGACTTTTATTAGTTTATCAAAGTTGTTCATTTCAATTCATTACAATATTATTTGCTAAAGACTCTTGTTTTCAATTTAATCATTTAATTCGAAATGTTCTAGATCTCTGCTTAAGTTTTTGTTGTAATTCTAAATTTAGTGATGATAAAGGTCACAGTAAATTGGGCTTCGAATATCCTAAAAACTCTATCAAAAAAGACTTCTTTTTGCAAATTCATATAAAAGACTGTAGAATTCATCTCTCTTATTTCTTTTAGGAAGTATTTCATTTGAAAATCTCAATAATTATAATGGATACTAAAATTATATTCATTCACCCTTACTAACAGTATGTTTTTAAGAGTGAATGTACAATAATTAATGTAACAAATATGTAATAAAAATTAATGACTTTAAAATATCTGACGATTGAAACTAAAAATAAATTTTTAAAAATATAATCACATGAATGGTGTTCAATAAGCATGTTTGTTTCTTTTTTGCTAATTTTAATATTTTTCCTCCAGAAAAACGTTGGACAAAATGGCGGTAAGCCCAAATTGGATCTCAATGTTGAAGCTGCCTGGGCACAAGGGTATACTGGAAGGAATATTACGACAGCCATCATGGATGACGGTAAAATAATGCATATTTAATCGTTCTTAAGAGAAAATCTTTTAATCTGAGCAAACTTCCAGACAATCTTAAGTATCAGGTTTATTCATTTATAAATATTACCTAGAATTCAACGCATTGTCAAAACATATTAAATTTCTGATAAACTGGCATAATTAATTATATATTGCTTTTAAATATAGTTTGGTCAGAAACAATTAGCTTAGAATAGCAATATTTGTTTTAGGTGTGGACTATATGCATCCTGATTTAAGAGAAAATTATGTAAGTAGAACTTCACTATTTTGTAAATAATTTTTATAACATTTAATACACTTAGTTCTAAGGACAAAACAATAAATTTGACAAATGATGGAAAAAATTTGAAAGAAACTGCATTTCCTGATTTTTACAGCCACTTTACAATGTTCTCATTAATTATAAAATGAGATTTAACTGTTAAGCATGATAAGTGATAAAGGATTTTAACTGACATCTTGCTAGGAGAATAAAACTGAAAAGAAAATTCAGGAAGAGGTAAATTTGCAAAGACGTGATATATATATCGTTGTGATATCTTGTAAAGTTTAAAAAAATTATAAAGTACTCCTTTTGAGATACACTCCATTCATCAAAAAGCAAGCATAATACAAATGCAATATTCATGAAACTACTTATGGTTCAAACTGCTTTCATTCATTTCTGCCTTAAACAAAGGCTCCAAAACTTTTTTTCTAACATGTTTGTTCAAAAATGAGATTTTTAGAGCGAAGTTTTGATATCTGTATCATATTGTACAAAAGCCTTGAGACAAAAGCTTATTGTACTTGAGAGCCGTGGTGGCTCAGGGGATAGAGCGCTCACCTCCCAACGAGGTGACCAAGGTTCGAATACCAGAAGTGGCTGTTTGATACAAATTCTACTCCCGGCTCGCATTGACCTCAATGCTGAAGCAAAATATTCTCAGTGGTAAACTCATTCTCAGTAGTTGGTTAGAATCCCCTAGTGGTCGGCTACTCGTTTGAAGTTTCGTGTTTTCCTCTCCATCTAACGCAAATGCGAATTAGTTCCATCAAAATATGTTCCACGAAGGATAATTTGTGCCCCTTCTTGATCCAGGAGTTCCCTTGTCTTCTGTGTTGGATTCAAAATTATACGGTTGGGGAGTTGAACATTGTTAGTCGTAAATTCAGAATTGAGACAGTTGCTCAACAGCAGTTATAAAATAAAATAAAATACATATGAAATTAGGAGAATAGGTTATCAGAGAAATAAGCATTGCAAGAAGAAATAATCTGAGAGAATTAATTAATGCAAATGGAATAACAATAAATCGGAAATTTTGAACAAACTAACCAGTATTCAATAATTACTAGAACCGGTGATTGTTTTTAAAGGTGGTTACTTTGTTTTAGGAAAATTCTGATCTGAATGCTAAAATATGTATGGCTCTTTGCTTGAATAAAAGATAACAAAAACGTCAGAGTTTGCAATCTTTGGGAAAACTTTAAAAAAAAAATTTAAAAATAAAATTTAAAAATTAGTTAGTTTATTGAAAGTATTGACTCTATCTTTAATCACGCTTCGAAGTTTGTTCCTCAAGGAACTTTTTACAAAGAAAATTAATTTGTTTTGATAAAATTTAAACTTTTTTTACTTTGTTAACCTGGCGTTGTTGTAAGAAAAGTTAATGTATCCCCTGTAGTAATAAAGTTTAAACATAGCACAAAAGTTTTTTTAAAGTGTGCCCAAGCAACAGAGTGTATCTCAACTTGGAACAAAACAGATCATTATTTAAATGGAAATAAATTTTAAAAAATTGCCGAGAAATCAGCACGATTTTCTGAAAGTTCAACTGCTCTTCAGATTCGTATGTGCATTTGTAATTTCTAGATATGTATTAGTAGTATTTTATTAGCGTCATGCACCGAGAGTATGCACCGAAGAGCCATTACATTATGACCACCCTCCATCTATAACAATGGGTTCGCCCAAAAAACTTCATTCTCTTCAAAAATATACAAATTCGAAATATCAGTTGACATGCATCAAGCGCTCAAAAAAAGGCACCCATTTTCAAAACTTGCAATGAGAAGAAACAAAAGGGATTTGAAACATAAAACGCAAAGTGTTTCAGTGGTGACATAAAAATATCCTCAGTGGTAGAGTCGATCTACCACAATTCGCCATGTTTCAAGCACTTGAAAATAGGCCTCCATTTTCAAGATTCACCGGATGTGAATGAAGAAAACAAAAGGGATTTGAAACATAAAACGCAAAGTGTTTCAGTGGTGACATAAAAATATCCTCAGTGGTAGAGTCGATCTACCACAATTCGCCATGTTTCAAGCACTTGAAAATAGGCCTCCATTTTCAAGATTCACCGGATGTGAATGAAGAAAACAAAAGGGATTTGAAACATAAAACGCAAAGTGTTTCAGTGGTGACATAAAAATATCCTCAGTGGTAGAGTCGATCTACCACAATTCGCCATGTTTCAAGCACTTGAAAATAGGCCTCCATTTTCAAGATTCACCGGATGTGAATGAAGAAAACAAAAGGGATTTGAAACATAAAACGCAAAGTGTTTCAGTGGTGACATAAAAATATCCTCAGTGGTAGAGTCGATCTACCACAATTCGCCATGTTTCAAGCACTTGAAAATAGGCCTCCATTTTCAAGATTCACCGGATGTGAATGAAGAAAACAAAAGGGATTTGAAACATAAAACGCAAAGTGTTTCAGTGGTGACATAAAAATATCCTCAGTGGTAGAGTCGATCTACCACAATTCGCCATGTTTCAAGCACTTGAAAATAGGCCTCCATTTTCAAGATTCACCGGATGTGAATGAAGAAAACAAAAGGGATTTGAAACATAAAACGCAAAGTGTTTCAGTGGTGACATAAAAATATCCTCAGTGGTAGAGTCGATCTACCACAATTCGCCATGTTTCAAGCACTTGAAAATAGGCCTCCATTTTCAAGATTCACCGGATGTGAATGAAGAAAACAAAAGGGATTTGAAACATAAAACGCAAAGTGTTTCAGTGGTGACATAAAAATATCCTCAGTGGTAGAGTCGATCTACCACAATTCGCCATGTTTCAAGCACTTGAAAATAGGCCTCCATTTTCAAGATTCACCGGATGTGAATGAAGAAAACAAAAGGGATTTGAAACATAAAACGCAAAGTGTTTCAGTGGTGACATAAAAATATCCTCAGTGGTAGAGTCGATCTACCACAATTCGCCATGTTTCAAGCACTTGAAAATAGGCCTCCATTTTCAAGATTCACCGGATGTGAATGAAGAAAACAAAAGGGATTTGAAACATAAAACGCAAAGTGTTTCAGTGGTGACATAAAAATATCCTCAGTGGTAGAGTCGATCTACCACAATTCGCCATGTTTCAAGCACTTGAAAATAGGCCTCCATTTTCAAGATTCACCGGANAATCAATATATTTATATATATATATATATATATATATTTATATATATATTTTTTTTTTTAAATTTGTGACCCTAATTGAGATATATTTCTTCGATTTTTGAATAGAACGCAAAGGCTAGTTATGATTTCAGCAGCAATGATCCTTATCCATATCCAAGATACACAGATGATTGGTTCAACAGGTAAAGATTTTATTTTTAAATCCTTTTAGTTCGGATTTGTATTTTCATAAACAAAAATAAATGTTATTCCTGTTTATTTTTGCTAATTAAAAAAATGGCAATGGCATTAGATGTTACATTCCAAGAACTTTAACTTTTCAAAATATGTGATTATGCAACGATGAATAACAGGTTTATTATATTGAACGAAAATATAAACAGGGAAAAAATATCACATCATATCCTTAGGTTAACTTTATCGATTTATGTAACTTCGGCATATTTTATGTTTTCAAATTTTAATAACGCCTCGAAGACATGATTATTTCAAAAGTGGTAAATAAAGAAGTATTTTCGTGGGTAAATAAAGTAATATTAAATTTCAAAACTTCGGCGCTGAGTGAATATATACCGTAATAGCTGTTTGTAACAATCAAAATAAATCTGCTATTCATATATTTTGAATCAGACGAATATTTGGACAAGATAAAACTTCTTACATAGAGTTCTTGAATAAAATGTAATGGAATCAACAGTTTTCAACTTTATTTAAAATATATATCCACTCGTAGTTATGTTACCTAGAGAAATATGTAATAATTTATCTAGAATAAAGTAAAAAAACATTTTTTGACAAGAAAATATTTACTTTTACGAACTGAATAAAAGAGTTTTATCATATAAGAAGTGTACGTTTCGTTTTACGTCAGAATTGGCTAGCTTAACAAAAGGGGTTATAAACATTTCAATACAACACATAATAAAAATAGTTTTTTTAATGTAATGTTGTTCAGTTTTTAATGCTCATCACATCGAAAGTGATAAACATTAATAAATATTCTAATTAATTTAAGCATAAGTATTCCAGTTCGTCTTTATGCTCATATTTAATTTTATCGCTTGCGCTTAATAAGTCAGATCTGCATTTATGCGATATGCGATCTATTTTACTGAAAAAATCATTAAAATAAAATTTCAATAGCATATACTTTATAAAATAAATTTACAAAGAGCATTCAACTTGTTTATTATATCAGGTTCGTGTCTCAACTACTATGGTTGAAATTTAAATAATATCAAACTGCAAATCAGTTTAGAAGTACATATAAAAGAAACGTAATCAATTTTTTAATTTCTAATGATAAGAAAAACAGTTATGAAACTAATTTTGATACTTTATTACATTAATTTGGGCGAAATCGGTAGAATAATTCCTGAGAAATCCATTAAAAAAGTCGTATAATTAAAATTCGATTTCTCAGAAAGTATTCCACCAATTTTGCTCAAATTTTGTAATTTGAATTTTTATAGTAAGGCATGGATTTTTTTACATAATTTTAAAGAACGTAATTTTGCAAGGCAAAATACGAAATTTGAGTGAAATCGGTTAAATAGTTCCTGAAAAATCGAATTTAAAATTTACGATTTTTTTAAAATTTGATTTCTCAGGAACTATTGGACCGATTTCACTCTGCCGTGTAAAATTATTTTCCTTAAAATGATGTAAAACATTCTGTACCTTACAATTTAAAAAACTTTTGACTAATATTAAATAAAATAGTAAAAAATGGTAAATAGTTACTGAAAATTATTTTTTGCATGGAATTATCTTCGGATAAACGAATTTTATAATTTTGCGCAAAAAAGCTTTCAATTCGCTTAAAAAATTTTCGAGATATAGGAAAATACGCAAAAAGTAAAATTAGACTAAGGAGCCCAAACTTTGAACGACTCTCCCGACCAATCTATGGGAACCAAAATTCACCAGAATGCGGCGGCTACTACTTATATTTTAGAGGTCAGAAATCGGAATCCGTCGAGAAAAGTGTATGTTTATTCAGAGAAAGTAGGTTTTCGAGTCTGATTTCGTAATTTAAAATATCGTTTGCACTAACTAACTATTATATTTGAGGTCACCCCCTCGAACCATGAAGATTGAGTCCTAGAGGGTGAAAATCCGATTATTAGATTAAAAATTATTAGGTGGTCCGTTTTTATTTATTTTTTTTTTCGCTGTTAAGTGGTTATAAAATAGTTTTTTCTTATTATTTACCTTGACTAAGCAAAATATTTGTATCCATTGTAACAAATTTGTAACGAGAATTACTATATTTAACCCGCCACCCTTGCAGTTTAAAATATTCTAGATAGTCCAAATTTAATTTTTTAAGTTTAATTATTAAGTTAAGTTTTAAGACATTATAGTGATTTTTATTTTCCTTATTTTTCTACATTAGATTTTAGTTTATGCTTGCTGCGTAATATTTTCAATTTTAAAAAAAAAAGCAAAAGTTGCTAAATTTAACCAGGGCAGATTAAGCGCACGTGGGGCCCTTAGGCCATTCAAATTTTTAGGGCCCCTAGGTTAAATTTTTTTCTCGTATATTTTTAATTTATTCAAATATAAAAGTATGTATTTAATATCTTTTCATTTAAAAAAGCATATTTAAAATAAAAATAAACAATAATAAATTAAATTTTACTTTATTTTATTAAATTGGAACTAAAAAATAATCATAACAGTAGTAGTACCCGCGATAGGCAGAAATAAGCACCCCTTGACTTTCCCTGATGACGTCACTTCCGTAGCTTATATAGCGGGTGCTACAACTCATAACATTTTGAAAAATTTGAAAAATCATTGTTTTTCCTAATTTTTCTTAAATTTTTTTTCAAAAAATTCATTTTAAGGGGGTCCCTAGGCCATGGCCTAATGGATAATCCAGCACTGAATTTAACTATCACATACGAAAATACGACTTTTAGTACAGACACTTTCACTAAATGGTTACCGCACAACGTTTAGCTCACGGGTTCTGTTATGTCTTATAATTTTAGTACATAAAATCATTATAACTTTATTTAAACTATCAATTTTATTTTTTTACTATAAATTTCATTCGATTTAGCTTTAAACAATACTTCACTTCGTTAAATAACTTTTATGTAGCGTAAAAAATTCATACAAATACAAAAAAAAAAAATTTACGAAAATTGCACAAAAATAGAACATAAATTTGCTTCTACTTTGCGTCTTATTTAATCTCATTCGACTCAGCATGAAAAAATAGACAAGAAACAATGCTTCACTTAAAGGGGGGGAGAGTTTTGTAATTTGCTTAATTTTGCTGACACGTGCATGGTGGGGGATGTGAGTGACGCTTACGTAAGACCATAAAGTCCTTTATTTCTAAATTTTCAAAAAAACACCAAAAAAATTCACTCGAAAAAATTTCGAATTAAAAAAAAATAAAAAAGTAGGAAAAAGAGTTAAATTTTGGAAAAGAGAACTGAGAGTTCTTCAATGAATTTCAAATTATATAAATTAAAACATAAATTTTGTTTCATGCAAATTTGCAATTTTATTTGAATTATAGGCATTTTTATTTAAATTATATTTTTTAAATTAATTCACTGAAATGTCGAAGTTTAAGCTTAAAAAAAGGGAGCATTGCAGTTTTCCAACGTAAGCACAAATGTGGTTCGTAGTTTGTTTAGTTTTGCACGCAATCCAAAACGGCCAAAAACATGCTTAAGTAATATGAAATATGAAGTAATATGAAGTGTGCTTAAGTAATATGAATGATGCTAGTGAATGATGCTTAAGTAATATGAAGTAATTTGAACTGCCTTTTAATAAATCGAGAGTACTAAACCGTTTGTTATTAGGAAAAACGGTAAAAAAAATTTAAAAAAATATTTCAGTTTTATGTATGTTTGTTTTTTGTGCTTTTATGCGAGCCATTTGCGCGCTATCTTTAAATTAAGGGAAGTATCCTTTGCGTGACTTCTTTTTCCTCTTCAAATAACATTGCGACTTCATTTAATAGATTAATTTTTATATATTTAATACATTTCGAAATTTTTGGCTGTTTTGAAATGAAATGTTATTTCAATATATCTTTTCATCTTTTTGTGTCATTATTTACATCAAATAATTATTGAGCAATAATATAAAAAGAATTTAAAATACAATATCAATTCTAATGATAAAAGTATCCAAGAAAATGTTCTCTTTTGTCTTTTAGCTGTTGGTTGCATCAGGATCGAGTGCCATTCGAAATAAATTTTTATATTTTAAACAAATGTTAACATTTTTACTCAATGTCTCCCAAACAAATTCGGAAAGTAATATTCACTGTCGCCAGATGGCAGCATGATTTAAAAACATAATTAAGCTTTTCTTTTTTTTTTTTAATAGTTAAATTTAGATGTTAATTGTCTTGAAAAAAATAATAAATAATTAATGGATGGGTGGTCTAATGTAAACAATAACAAGCGTCCTTAAACCGGAAGAAATTTAGAAAATTTCCGGTGTATCCCTCCGCTTATGTTATGACTACGAGGCGATGTGTGAACAAGCCAAATATTCTATGCAGTTTTGTTATTGTAATTTGGGCTCAAATCTAAACATAATTGTACCATTCATAAGAGCTTTCAGAAATGTATTGATTCTCAGAGGTCGTAAGGCCAAAAAACATTTTGGAAAGTTAATATCTCATTGTGAATAATTCTTAAGGTTTGCCATGTTTTGTATTTTATCCCTTATTTGGCTACATTTGAATAAAATGTCGCCAAAAATATCTTTAAAAATATCTTTTTAAGTTAGACTAATTAGAAAATATTCTAATGATTATAATATTAATATGTTAATGAAGTTTAAAGGCTGAAAGAAAGAACTCGGTACACGTGAAATACTTCAAAAGATATGATGCAATAATATGGTGGCGCGTTTTTTCAATCTGCGGTGTAAAAATATTACGGAAGCAGTAACCTGGAAGTCTTGAAAGAGCAATTTTACCACTAGCGCCACCACCCTTTTTCTTTACACGATCACCCATCCATAATTTTTGAAAAAAAAAATTCTAATATTTTTATTTATTTAAAAAAAAATTATATCGATTCTTAAGTTATTAGACTTTCATTACCTCTTTATTTTTCCTCCAAAAAGAAAATTCACCCAGTTACGAATTTTTGTATGCATAATTAAGGACAAAAACTCCTGGGAACTTTCTTTGAACGAAGTATCGGATCTCAACACGACACAATGTAAAAACAAAACATCTTTTATAATAATGGATTCTCAACAGTTAGATTAAGAAATATCTCTGATGCATTGTTGCCAAGAATAAAGCATTAAAACTCTAAGAATTGAATTTATTAAAATACAATACAAAATTTTTTGTTTATGTACTCTGCATAATAAAAATTATAAAATTGTGCAAAATATTCAGTTGATGCATTATTATTATTTTTTGCTTGTTTCTGCATGATATTGTGCATAAAAAATGGAAGTATCAAGGAATATAATTTTAGAGCGTGAAAAAGTTTAAGGCCCGCTACGACGGTCTTCAGTTCGAGAAGTTAGGCCTTTCGCCTATTCAAGCATAACACTTACGACATATCTTCAATGTACCCGGACTTAAGACGGGGATTTTGTTACATGTTTTTCCCTACAATCAGCAATGACGTCAAAATATTTTTATCCAATCATATTTTTTTGCACGGTGAATAAACAAGAAAAAAAAGCTACAGCATACATCGCATCTCGCGTAATAAAGCTTATTTAAAAACTCGACGATTATTTTTCCTTTTATTTCAAATCATCGATGTTTCATATTTATTTGGAAATATGATTATTGTTTGAATAATAAAATAAATATATAAATTAGAAAAATATTTAAGAAAACAATAGTAATTGCGGAAATTTTTCAATGTGATCCAACAAAAGAAAAACAATTAAAATTTAAACAAAATCATACAGATATCTAATGGTGTTCTCAATGCTACGTTATAATATTTAAACTCTATGAATAACTTTTAATTTTGTAAAGACTATAATTCAATACTACTAATCATTATTCAGAAAAGTAAAATTTGTAACTACTTAACTCTCTGAATAAATTTATTTTATTTTTGAAACTGGATTTTTGGTTTCGAATAAAATTGCATTTAACAGATATTTTGAAGTTAGTCAAACTTAGATGTAATCATATTAGGAGAGACTTTGAATCAGTAGATCAGTACTGAATAGATTTTAAAACTGATTAAATATTATTGATCTTTTTTGTGAGAAATATGTATCCCCGTATCCAAAGTGTCATATACAAGTTATTTTATGTATCTAAACAAATTGACTTAAAAAACCATATTTAATAACTACTTTATGCTAATCTGCAAAAATTGAAAACTTTGAAAAATTATAAATTTCAATTGATTATTAACATTTATATAATAATAAAAGACAGACCACTTCTGAATCTTATTTACCTAACATAACTTAAATATTTTCTAAAACAGTGAAATTTTCATTATAAATATTAATACCTTCTTCTGATCATCCTTCAGGTATGTTTTCTAGACCGTCGTCAATACAGTATTGAGCAGCTTTTATGCGACATAAATAAAGTACTACAACTCCAAAAAAAGTACACTAATTTCATGGCATTCAGAGACATATTATACAAAACAAACCACTCACCACAAAGCAATTTTGAAAAGTAATGCTCCATTATTAGACTCCTGCAGTAGCGCAGTAGCAGTACCGACTAATAGTAAGAAATAGGCTATGTTTTCGCAAAGTTTTCCTATGTTTAGTTTTCCTTTATTTATATCCCCTTTAAAGACCCTTTTCTTTATAATTCTTAAATTCTTTCAATTGCTTAATTTATTCATTTGAAAAATAATTAAATAATATTTAAACTGAATTCCTCTAATGTATATATTACGAATAGTGGGCTTTTCTAAAAAATACCATACTATAAAGTTTTATTTTTTCTGGCAGTAAAAAGAATTTTTAATTAATTGAAATCAAGTCTATTCATCTGTAAAAAGTTTGGAGTCGGGAGTTCAATTCCCAGCGCTGACACGAGAACATTTATTTCGCGCTATTTTTTAAAGCATATTTTAAGCTCGTTATTCAAGTATTAAATATTAATTTTATATTTATTTACTTATTTAAATTTTTTTTATTGAAAATATGTTTAATTATGGTATTTAAAAAAACACTTTAAAATTTTCTTTTTTGAATTTTTAAAAATTTTATTAAATTATTATTTAATTTTACTTTAAAAAAAATTTTAATTAATAATTTTTTACCTATATTATTTAGTACGATGTATTTTAACTTTGCGTTTACAGCAGTAGGTTATTTTTTTAACTTAATGAAATTAAAAATAACTTAATAAAATAAAATTAATAAAATTTAATAGTGACTTATTCTAATAGAACACCCCGATGGTTATCTATATTTTATTAATCATGTTTTTATTTTATTTTATTTATAGTCTAAGGAATCTATTTTTTATTAACCATTGTGTTACTTAAAATTTTCTATAAAAGAAACTATAGTTACCGTTTAGTTTTTTAGTAATTAATTTCAAGATCTTACCTAAAATTTTGTAAAATCCAAAAGTACAATTGTATAATATGACACGTGTTTCACACGTGTAACATTAATTTAATATTACATATCTGAATGTGAGTTATAATGGGACAATAGAATTGAGATTAAAACATTTTAAACAATGCAAAAAATTTTAATTTTTAATATTTTTGTTTGCTTTAGGACCTTTAAGTAAAATATAAAATCTTATTTCATATATTGCACTCATTACTTTTCAAAAAATGCAGGTTGATTCTTACAAAAAGATAAGTAAATAAAACTTTTTTTACTAATCTCCAATAATGTATTTTTATATAGGAACAAAATTATATTATAATGAAAAAAATATAAAATATAAGACGTCTTTCCCTGAGCGTGCACTTCAAAGTTTCGGGAAAAAGTTTAATTACAAATATTTTAGATATAATTTTTTTCTTTGTTTCGCTATGGTTTATCTGAAATAGTTTTTTTACGCAATTACAATAGTTACTTTTGTTTGAACATTTAATACAGAGTAACTTTCACTTTATCAGAAAGGATTTTTTTTACAATTTCTATTTAGTAAAAAATGTGTGTTTTTTCCCTTAATATTCTACTTTTTTCACTTGCTTTCCAAATAAAAAAAAAAGAAAGAAAAAAATATTTTTATTTAAATGATGAGTGAGTTACTGTTGTAGTTCATTTACGTCGCACTAGAGCAGCGCAACGGGCTATTTCGCACGGTCTGGGAAACATCCCTGAGAATTGGCGATCGCAACGTACGAGTACGCCATCTGGGGAGAGACCGGTTTCATGCCTTTGGCCCTTCTCCCTTCCCTCTCCTCCTCTTTTCAGTCCCATAGGAATGTACTACGATATTTTCCCTTTAATGAATATTTTTCCTTTTTATTTAATTAAAATATTTTTTAAAATTTCCGTGATGCTTTTCTTTACAATTATGTTTAACGTTTCTTTACATGTAGTTTTCCAACTTAAAAGATTTCAAACTATATGAAAATCAAGAGTGAAACTAACGTACTTCGTACCCCCTATGACTCTCCACACGCTAATGGGGTAGGCACGCGAACTGTTGCCATAGGTAGAGAGTTCTGCTCTACGCTACCTGCCGCCCATTTCGATCGCCAATGATCCGAAAACATACAATCACAATTCTGATCCTCTGTAGAGGGTATGGCACCCCTGCTTCGGTAGCCCAACGATCTGCACGCGATGTCGAGCACTTTACTGTAGGACAGTTTAACGAGGACCAATACCGCACACCCTCGGCTACCTACGCAAACTGATCCAAGTGGTCACCCACCCGCACACTGACTGCAGCCAGTGATGCTTGACTTCGGTGATCAACTGGGAACCGTGTCTTACGCGGGACAGATGAGTGAGTTGATAATTGTCACAAGATGACAGCATCATTAGGAGTAGGCATTTTTCATTCAAACTAACATATGTTTTCATTCACACTGGATGCGAAAAATTTGTGTATCTCAATTTGCAGATGCGAATGAGAACTTTATTGGTGAAATATATTTGCACTCGAAATACTCGCCAATCAGATTTTCATTCGCATTTCCGAATCAGCGTGATTCTTTGCAAGTAGTATGAAGGTCTCTAACTCCTCTTGCATTTTAAGAAGTCGAGCTTCAGAAATATTTAACTGTAACTGAAACTATTGATTTTTTATTTATTATTTATTGCATTCTTCAAACAAAAAAAGGCTGAAAGTTTCGTCAAATTTTTTATGGAACTTCTTTTTATGAATTAACTACATTGTGTCTCATCATAGCATATTTTAGACATGCTTAATATTGATAATTTCAATCGCCTCGGTTTGCAGTTTTAAAGGATTTCTCACTATATGTTATCAGTTAATACATTTTATTTACATTAGACATGGAAGGTAGAATCATACCACAAACTCCGATGTTCAGAGGATATCCACCTATTATTCAAAGACCATTAATTCCACTTGGGTTAGATGCTTTGTATACAGCATGTCGACAAATCTATCCTGATCAACCCAACCCTCTACAAGTTACTGCTCTTGTAAAATTTTGGCTCGGTGGACCTGATCCTTTAGACTATATCAGTATGTATTCTAATCCTGGAAACCCTGCAGCCGATATCGAGCCACACTGGCATTACGTGAGTTTTGGTTTGTCTGACCTACATGGTGATGGACGAGTTCATGAAATTTCTACAGAGGAAACTCCTAGTGGCTTTGGTTTTGAGTTAACTTTCCGTTTAAAACGTGAACCAAACGAGCGGGTACCGCCGACTTGGCCAGCTGCCATAATGCAAGCTCTTGCGAAATATGTATTTCAATCTGAAAACACACTTTGTGCTGGTGATCATGTGTCTTGGCACTGTCCGTTAGATAATAGTGATTCCCGTATACAGCACATGTTGATGTGCGAAGATCCTCAACTGGGCACTGTCCAGACGCCTTATGGCCCTGTTATCTTCGTACAGATAGTTGGGGTTTGCAATGAGGAACTTCAAGCTGCTCAACATTGGAATGGCCCTGGTGTTATTGATCTCATGAAATCGATCAAAGGTGCTGGGGGACCCTGGTTAATAACAGACATGAAAAGAGATACAAGTATCTTTGAAATGGATCCTAGTGTCCAAGGAGCTGTTGATCAAGGTGTGGCCACTGACGGATCTAATCTCACTGGTGTCAGTGCTCGTTGTTCTTGGACAGAGAGGAAATTGATTAAAGTTGAAGACGATGAAGAGTCGGAATTAGAGCGGGGTTTTTCTCAAATCTCTGTTAGCGAATCCGAACAGATCAAAGCGACATTGAAAAAAGGATTAATCAACACTAAGGCAGCCTTACCTCCGATTCGTCAAAATGATGATGGTTACTCTTTCCCTCCTGATGACAATCAACGGAAAGATTTATTTTCTAACTTTAATGGTGACATGCCAGTTTTAGGTCCTGCTGAGCTAATGCAGAAAAGATTTCTAGAGGGCATACATTTGCGATTCAATTTGGAAGCTGGTTCTTTATTGTCCTTGGCTCTCCAAGGCAGATTAAAACATGGGCGACATTTTACATTTAAAAGTGTAGTTGGAGATACTATCATTACATTTGTTCCTGTGAATGTTACTGGTGCCTTTGTAGATGAAGAACATCCTTATGCAGCTCATGGACCTTGGTTGCAAGTTCTTTTAAAAGAAGAAGACATTGAGTGTATGTTGGCAGAATTGACAGAGCTTTCAGAATTAGATGCTTTTGCACTTCCTAAAACATTTGAGTGGTGTGATAGAAGACTAATAGTCACTTTAATGCATGAAGACTTTTAGTACACAATATATTTTGGTTAACAAACTATTTTTAATGAATTCATGCATACCATAAACCTTTTTTTCACGTTTTTTTTTTTTATAGAAAAATCCTACTTAAAATTATTTTGCTTACTTGTAATCATTTTTATTGAAATTATATACTATATATTAAACTTAAATATTTTGGGGATTTTATGTGATCATGTAGCTTTTCTTAAGTTTGTTATATGAATTAAATTTATTTTTTGCTTCTTTCGATAGCAATTGTGCTCAATCATTATTTGTTGTGCAATAATTTTATCCATTTTATGTTTCACCAGATTTTCACATGCATATTGTTATGCGAACTAATTTAGGTTGTATTATAGATGTTAAATGTGGCATGATCATGTAATTAAAAAATTACAGATTTTATACTGTTTGTATTGATAAATTGTAAAAACTGGGTTCATTTTTGTGATTGATAAATAATAAGAATGTAGCTCTCATTAGCTAAAAGAATTAGTCTCCATTAAGACTGAATCGTTTTAATAAAGTTTTATTTATTGTTTACTTGTTGTTTTTTTATAGACATTGATACGGAAATTAATTAGATATTTTATTTTTAAATAATGAAATTTATAATTTTATTTTCAATTAATTAGTTATATTATTAGTTAGTGTGAATCATGTTTTGCTCACAGATTATCGAATATATTCTCTTAAAACTATCTAATAATCATGATAAAGCAATTGCTAAAAATAGGGAACTTTCATATAGAGAGCAAATGAAGTCCGATTTATGTGTTGCTTGCACATAGTCGAATGGATATTGAATAAAGTCAGAGTTGGTAATAATGAAATGTAATTAACATGAACAAAACTAAAAGGAATGGGTATATTGTTCGTTAGATTTTTGTGTGTAGAACATGGTTTTTCACTCCACAAGCTTGTGTGTGCAATAATTAATGCAGAAATAAACTATCATTTTTTAATCAGGGTTCATGAAAGTTAAAAAATATCATGTTGGATGAGTAAAATAATCATGAAAATGTTAAGTACATTTAAATTATATTTTTTTGTGCATGAATGTGAATGACTTATGCGTGTATAACTGATTTTTTTCTGTCAGGTGTATTAGACAGGATGCATAGCATTTTTAAAAAGTGCTTAAAGGTGCTTATTTTTGTTTTTTGAAAACCCTTGAAGGTGCTTTTTTCATTGGGTGTTTTTAAAAAGTGCTTAATTTTCCCTTTTCCAAAATGAGATTTTTCCTTTGCTTTGTTGATTTTCGTTACAAATTATGCAGAAAGACACTGTTCACATTGTTCTATTCAACGTTTTCACAATTAATTCAACCCCAATCAATTTCGGCATATCGTCAGTCCGTAGCGTATGAAAACGCCATTCGATTTACATGATTCAAAAAAATTTTAAATTGTCAAAAACAATGACGAAAGTTGTTTTTTTTTTGACGCAAAGGATAAAACTGTCAATTGTCAAAAACTTTCCAATCCTCCTTAATTGTGATTATTTTTTAAAAGTGCTTAAAATGTGCTTATTTTTTGTTGAATAATTTAGCTACGCACCCTGTTAAAAGTATAAGTAAATAAATGTAAACTTATATAGCTGCAGGAGCACAAAGCAAATTATTATTAAAAATTTCTTGAAAACAATACTCTTTTTTTTTCAAGAAAAATAATGGACCTCAATTGCTATATGTAGATTTTTCTTCCTTGCCAAATTTATTGAGGCAGAACTCTTTTACTTATACTTATAATAAATTTATTAACTTAATCAGTACGTTCGTCTGCTATAATGTAATACTTCATATTATTCAGTCATGGAACTAGATGTGCTGGAGAAGTTGCTGCAAAGCGTGATAATGGGATTTGTGGAGTTGGTGTGGCTTATGAATCTAAAGTTGCAGGTATTAACATCAAATTCTTATTCTTTTTATATGATTGCTAGGTAAAAAGAAAAGCCTGAAATTCTTGGGGAACTATGAAAACCAGGAATTTTCAGATGAAAATTCTTGATGTAGTAGCTTTTTAATCGCACACAAAATTACTAAGAGTTTTAATCAACTGTGTTATTTATTGTTGTCAAAATGCATAAAATCTTATATAATTTTTATTGATAGTGGTATCATTTATTTTTCTCATCTTCAACGGTATTTTAATAAATAATTATAATTAATAATTTTGCTATTTCAGCACTATAAATAAGAATTTCTTTTATCTAAATTGAATTTCCTAAAACATTTAAATTATAAATGATTTTTAGAACTAACTCAGGTCTAGAGCTTTTAATAACGGTAATGATGAACTTATTAAGTGGAATTCTTTGCTCAATAATATATCATGAAACTTTTAGTGGCAAAATATTAAATAAAATTTTTTTTTTTTTTTTAAATTATGCATTTCCCCATATACTTCTAAATATAAATTTTTAAATTACTTTTGTAAATATGTGATTTTAATTCAAGTGTGAAACTTATCACATTTTACTCTGGAAATCTCAATTAATTTTGGTTTGTCTGAAGAGTTGTAACCTGTATTGTAGCAAATTTTTCAGTAGGAAACACTGAAAATTCTGACAATTTATGTAAAAAAAATTTATATTGTAACTATGTAAAAATAAGGTTTTCCCATTTAATTATTACTCGTGAAATTATTTAGTGCTTAATGAAGCCAGAGGGGATATGTTTTTCCAAAATACCACTGGATTGCCGAAGTTAAATTTGATCACTTTTAAGAGTATTTACCAAAAGCTACGCTGATTTGTTTGACATAAATAAAAATAATATGAAAGTAAACACATTTTTTATTCACAGTCTATGAATTGAATGATTATCTAACCGAGTAATAAGTTTAGTTATCATTGGTTAAATATTTTCTTCCTTATTCTTATTTCATACTTCCTTTTTTAAAAAGTATTTTTATGATGTTTTGCTTGAAAGTAGTTTTTGGAGTTACACCAGTCTCTTTAATCATGCCAAATATATTTTTACGTTCACATTTATTATTCCTTGTGCTTAATCTCTTTCTAAATGCAATTCCTTCTGTACAAATGTAATGTAGACTTTCATTCATATATTTTTTACCTTCTAGTTAAATAGTAATCATAAAGTGTCAAAAACGTTACTTTTGAATTTCTTCAAAAAATTATTTGTTTCGACCATGAAAAATTACTTGCTTCTGTTTTTAAAATATTTAAATAACTAAAAATTAAGTGACAACTTAAAACAAAATAGATGAAGCCAGATATTTGAAAGAAAGGCAGTTTAAAAAAAAATCATTAAAAGCTCTTTGTTTTATGTGTTAAGAGTTAATATTAAGAAATAATAATTATGAAATGATTAGTAATATATTACACTCATATTGATTTCTATGTATTATTAGTATAAAATATTGGTAGTTTATTTTGTTTTAAAGTTTATCATTTGGAATAGTTTTTTTTTAATTGGAATTAATATGATACAATATATATATATATTTGGGGTTAATGAAATACAAATCAAACTCAAGCAATCTTCATTTTATGCATTTGCATTAATCCTTAAAATTTCAAAGGTATCCGAATGCTTGATCAGCCATATATGACAGATTTAATCGAAGCTAATTCTATGGGTCATGAGCCACACCTTATTGACATTTATAGTGCTAGTTGGGGACCTACAGATGATGGTAAAACTGTTGATGGACCTCGAAATGCCACAATGCGTGCAATTGTGCAAGGTGTAAATGAGGTAATTTTAATTTTATTTAAATTTATTTTGTTTGTTCTTTATATAAAATTAAGACAAATTGTAAAAGTATCATTTGCAAATTAAAAAAAGTATTCTTATATTCTGTTCAAAAAGAACTGATAGCTAAAGTAAACAAAACACAATTGGCTTGTTGGTTGAACACAATTGGCTATTTGATGCCAAGGTTATGAGAAACTGCACTAATCTGTATAATGGTCAGAAGGAAAAGAATCACCTACTTGACGAGGAACCAGCCTGACTAGGTGAAAAGCAAACCTTCTTGTTTACTTCCACTATCAGTTCTCACTGAACAAAGTGTAGTTCAAATTTAAATGTCTCTTTCCCTGAAAAGTGTTCTTTTATTTTGATATAAACTATATTCTGTTAGCTTTGTTGACATTTTGTAATACAACTGTTAATTTTTGATAAATGATCAACTTAAAATATACAAGACTATTTATTATTTAACCCTTTTGTGCTGAGAATGTTTCCCAAGCACTTATCTAAGGCTGGATGGTTTTATGCCTGAATCCATGAAATTACTGAAATACGAATTCATTCTTTAATAATTTACTGTAAAGTAAATAAATGACAAATAGTGTATACATTTTTATTTGCATACTTTATTAATTTAAATTTTTTACTTGTTTAAATACATTTTAACACATTTACTTACCATTTAATAACTTTTAACATTATAAATAACTAAATATGTTTTTAATGCCTAAGTATGTTACATAAAATTCTTTTTCAGTATGTAAAATTAGAAAACAAGGATCCACTTAAAGCCCTATGTTGCAATCTTTGCACTTATAATAACTCATTTGCCATTTTGAAGTATTTTTGCCGAAATGTGAACGAGCGAAGCATTGTTGTCTATTTTTCTCAGCAATTTCTTTTGCACAAAGTAGATTTATGATCAGAATATATTATAGTGTCTCTCACTACAATCTGTTTCAGAATCAATAACTGAAATATTGTACATCATTTCTGCTATTGCAAGTTCAGTTAAACTTTTTCCACTGTTTAATGTTGTAGCAGTAAAAGAAAAATTTAACAATTACATAATCTAACTATCAATTGAAAATTAGACTGCAAACCCAAATGCACAATGCTCTAGCGAAAAGAAGAAAAAAAACTTTCCCACTTACTATAAACAAATCCACATGCTCAATTTAAGGAGCCATCATAAGGCGTGCAAATCAGAAACATTTTTTTTCTCAACTAGATGGACATTATTCAAGTAGCAGGACAAGTCTACTTGTTTCTCAAATCCTATGCACATACAATGGCATCTTGTGCCAAAAATGATAATTTATAAAATGTTCCGGAACATTGTCGCAAATATGTAATGGGTGGGGTGCGTGTGAGAAAACATGTTGGCAAGTCCGTATGTGAGATTATTTCATGCTGGCATGCATAAACAATTGACATAAAATTTTTAAACCAAAAGAGAGGTAAAAATGTTTTAATTGCCCAAGATTTAACATTTCTTTAACAATATCCATTTTTAAAGAAATAACAAAAAATATTGAAGTTGAGCTATATAAAAATATTTAACAAAAAAAAAAAAAAATTTTAAATTTGTTTTTTTTTTATAGCTCCCTTCCTGTTTTTTTAACTTTGAAGTTTTTTAATTACTTTATAATTTTTTTCTTCTTAACTGAAAAAATATTCTGCACAATATTATGTTCTTTACCTACATCAATTTTCTTTTTTTATCTTCTTTCTTTACTTACTTTAAAAATCTCCTTTTTTAAAACAAATTAACGCATTAATCTATTTTATAACAATGTAAATTATGCATACTTAATTTTATGTTTACTAAACTCATCATTATTCAGCACACTGTTACAGCCTACCTTCTTTTTAAAACAAAATGTTAAAAAAAATTATGTCTTTTAATAATATCTTTTATTTTCTTATTCAACACTACCTCCTTATTATCTATTCTTTCTTTAAAAAATTAAACTTTTGATGGTTTGAATGAGTTTCTTTGATCCATGCAATCTCTTTCCGATTATAAGTTTTTAAATTAAAAAAGCCCATGATTTAAAATCAAATTAGAAATTTAATGTCTTATTTTTGTCTTAATATGTTGTAGGGTCGACGTGGTTTGGGGAATATATATGTTTGGGCATCTGGAGACGGTGGAGCTGATGATGATTGCAATTGTGATGGCTATGCTGCAAGCATGTGGACCATTTCTATTAACTCTGCTATTAATAATGGTGAAAATGCACACTATGATGAATCTTGTTCATCTACTCTAGCATCTACATTTAGCAATGGAGCTAAAGACCCTCATACTGGAGTTGTAAGGCAGTCTTTAACTTATTTCATTTACTTTGCAGACTGTATAACTTGGCAATTTTGTTTTATTTTTATTATTTTAGAATGATATTTTTAATATTTCTCAATGTGTTAATTTTTATGAATTTGAGTATTAAAAAGTTATTTATTTTTAAATTTCTTAAGCACAAAAAAACTAAAAACAAATTTAATTGGATGGCATTAAAAAGTTCTTAATCTACTGAGACATTAAATATGTCATTTGTTTTTTTAAAAAAAATTTCAAAAAAAGTTAGTTTCTTAATAACATTTAATGGGATTACAAATTGTTTAGGTAATTAATTCATGGCTCTATAATATATCCGATTAAAATTCGATAACTGAAAAAAATTAATATGGATTAAAACAATTGCATTTTATAATTGTATATTAATCAATATATTGTTTTAATATGCCTTTTAGAATGTGGACAGAGGGGACATTACTTTACACATTTAATCACTCGATAGTTGCAATAGAAATAATATTGTATGGATGCTAAATGTGTAAGATCACGTGAATGATGTTCGAGGAAAATTCAGGCAGCATTGAGGAAATTTTTGGTCTAATTATTAAAAATAAAAATGCTGTAGACAATTTTTATTGCTAAAAAAATATGTCTTTTTACAAAATATTTTGTTCTAAAAAACTTTTTATATCAATTATTTATTTATTAATTTGAATTCCTTAAGTTAGTACCTTAAATTTAGTATTATAAATTGTTACTCTTTCAGTATACTTCAAATTTTATTTTTAACACATATGCTAGTTTATGATTGTGATACACATGTTTTGCCTTCTTATTTTAATTAATATTTTAGCATTGTTTAAACCCAAGCTGAACTGTAAATAGTATTAATAATCTTGTACCAGAATCATGGTGACATTGTCGCAGAACATTAGAGTTTTTGCAAAAAGAATTTTTCTTTAGGAAGTAAAATTATTTTAATTTCTTTTCCGCAGAAATTCTTGAAATATTTTTTTTTCTCCCCAGTATTATATTCAAAAGATGCACATAGGATAGGAAAGAAATGCTCATGATTTTTCTATTTTTATCTGTTAATAAAGAATTATGAAGTAAAAAATTATGGTTTTCCTTTTTGCAGAAATTTTCTTAAGATATTTTTTACTCTGCAGAAATAGTTTCACAAGATGCTTTTCTCGCCCATCAAATGGAAAAGAAATGCTCCTGATTTTTTCTATTCTTATTTGAGAATTTTTAAAAAATTTATATTGACTGGCTTCAGCTAGAACTTCAATTAGATAATGTTTAAAAAGAAAAAACTGAAATTACGAAAGTTTAAAAGATTGTTTGCTCTAGAAATCATGTTCTTTCTACACTTTTAAATATTGTATGGAGCTAAAGCTTTTGAGGTAGCTGTTCTCCAACTAAGCATACTTTTATATATTATTGGTTGTTATGATTTATGACATATTTTTCTGTTTGCAAGAAATTTTCATTAATTTGCAAAAATATCACCTCAGGTCACGTTTCTTGACCTGCGTTCACCCTGCTTGGTAATGAGGATAGTTAAATTGAGACACTACTTATTAGCAACAGAAATTGTTGTAAAGAAAGAAAGCACTCGTAATTCAAACAAAAGTGCTACTAAAATGCTTTTTTTTTCACTTCAGCACCAATTTTAGCAAAAATGTCAACTTTTGTCAAAAAATTTCATCTTTTGTCAACTTTTTTAAAAAGTTGACAAGTTAGGTTCGACTTTCGCAATAGGTCATGTAGGCAAAATGTATTATGCTGGTACTCATTTTATACAAATTTAGCGCTGTAACTTTTTTGTATTTATGCTTTTTCGGTATAACATGTTGTTTGCGAAAAAATTTGACAAAACGTCAAAAGCACCTTATTTTAGGTCACATTTATTGGTGACCTAGAAGCTTACGCTCAGCTCCTCAGGGGGACAATACAAATAAATCACAGATAGTCATTCTTAATTAGATCCATTAGATTAAAAAAAAACATTTGTCTGCAATTTTTTCTGAATTAAAACTCCTGATAGCTATTTATTTCACATCATCATATCTACTCACATCATCCTGATAGAAATTCTTTCTTTTTTTGAAAAATTATTTTTAAAATAGTTTAATGTTATGCACATTTTCGCACTCATTTAATACGTACACTAAACATTCGTAAATTTTAATTTTGCCTTTAATGTTAACTGTTTTAATTCTATTCATAGGCTACTACTGATTTGTATGGTAAATGTACCAAAACTCATTCGGGAACATCAGCTGCAGCACCAGAAGCTGCTGGAGTATTTGCTTTAGCACTTGATGCAAAGTAAGTTCTCACAACTATGGTAGTAAATTCAAAATAACTTAATTTCCATCGTTTGCATTGGCATATTTTTAGGGGGGGATTTATATGCGCTGAATAAGAATTAATCTAATATTTATTTATTTTTCAGTAGTTGTGTTTCCAGGGATGAGATTCTTCCGCGGATTTCCGCTTTTTTTGCAGATTTTTCCATTTTTCCCGCTGATTTCCGCTGAAATTTTTTTTTGCACAAATTAAAATTTTTTATGAGGAATTTAATTTTTCACGGAGGGAAATTATTGAAGTCCCTTTCCCTCCCTCTGAAGTTTCTCTAAAAATCATTTCCTTGGGATAAAACTGGCTGACCTTTATACAGGGATGAGATTTTTTTTGTCTCTCGAATTTCAGCCTTTTTATCAAAAACTCTGATTCTCTAAAAGTTTCGTTTTTTTAAAATAAATATCCCGTTTTTTTTTTTTTTTTAAATTCAGTCATTCAGAAGTAAAATAATTATATTTATTTATGATTTTCAAAGATAAACAGAAAATTCAATCTACGCCCTAGCTGCTAACTTTTTCCGCATTTTAGCTGTTTTCTCCGATTTCACGCACAGAAAATAAGATTTTCCGTATTTTTTATCAGTAGGCTGGATAGCTCGTATTTTCGTAATTCAGACGTCGCTGCTTCTTGTATTCTGGTGTGAAAACAAACAAAAAAAAAGAGGGGGAAAATAGAGGTGGATTTGCGGTGAAAATATTTATTTGCTCATTCAATTAATCTTGTAAATTTTTATTTATTATGTCTAAACAAAAACAATACAAACAAGCCTTTTAGAAATCACAAGTCCAGACTCTGCAAATATCTCGATTTTTATTCACGCGATTTTAATATCAATCATCGATTTTCGTATTTACCTGATTTAAAAGTTGCAC